TGCAAAATCCAAATTAAAATATAATTAAAATTGATATCCTAATTAAGGGAATAAAATAAAATTATTTGACCAAGAAAAATCAATACTGCAAATCAATTTGAGACTGAGGTAGTAGTAATTTCTTAAGATGTCATATCTTAGTCAAAAGTCTCAAAACATTTATAATCAACTTGTACTTATAAACTTTTAAAATAATTAATATAGTAACAAATTGAAGTAGTAAAACACTTCTTTGAAAACATGCTCATTCTCAGGTATATCTCAAAACAAATAGTTCCTCAAGTTTCAATAAATTCTGAAGTGATGGGCAAAACCCAAGATTCCTCAAGCCTAGCGAACATGTGGGTCACCGCGGTCTCCGTAACTCACCCCACTATTGCAGATCCCACTGGTGACAAATAATGAAAGTTAGACATCTACCTTAAATGTGCACACCCTCTAGAAGAGATTTCATGTCTTTCGAGTAGTAAAAAGTTTAAGTAGTGAGTATATGTTTCTACTAACTACTCACAAATAGGAATAAATCCGCACAAAGCAAATTGTGAACTACTACTATCTTCACAAAAGAAAAAGATGATTATATCCTAGTGTTCAGGATATCTACCGAATCACGAACAAGTCTCAAACTATCCAAACCAAAGGTAGTAGCAGCCCTAACCCACTAGTATCTTGGGGTTCTCTGCGGAACACTCACAAGTATAAAATCATTGGTTATAGTTCAATTTAAAATAATTTGATCTCAGTCTCAAATACTTTCTCAAAATATCTAAATCATATTCATATCTCAAAATTATTTACATAGCATATCAAGGTTAAAGTTATACGGAGTAGTTCACAAATTAGTGCTCACCCCAAAACTAGTTCTAAAATAGTACTACGTATTTGATGTTATATAATCCAATAAATATATTTCTAAATCCAAAATGTGTGTGTGTGTAAATATTTGTACCAAACTATTCATACAAAAATATATAATTTATCCCAAATAATCTCCACAATATTCCAAGTCCGAATATCAATTTCGGCTATAGCAAATTAAAAGAATTAATTTACTCAAAATTCTTACATTTCGAAATTACCTGAAAATTATATCATGCTCATATAAGTCAAATATAGCCGAATTACGATACACATAAAATTTCATAAAGCATCTCAAATCATAGCTCAAACCCTAAGTAAATCATAATAGGGACAAAATAGTAATTTGGTTGACGTAGTACTTACCTCAAGGATAGTGGGAAGAATTTTATGGGATTTCCCAAAAAGGAAAGTGAGAAGAATTTTATGTGACGGGGGCCTTATCTCATAATCGAAACTGGAGAATAAAGATTCCAAATATAGGGCCTGTTTGGTGACAGCTGCTTTGGCTGGAATGGCTGAAAAGCCTGAAAAGACTTGATTTGCTGAAGTGAAAGTGTTTGGTAATATATTGGCTGAAGTGGCTGATTGTGTGTAAAATTACTATAAAGGGTATTAGCTTATTTGTATTAAATATATGGGTGTGAATTTTACTAATAAACTATTTTTGCTTGATTAGCTAATTATAAGCCTATTTAAATAATTGATTACTTGGGAAATTTCATTCTTACTCTTACGTCGATTGTTTTAATACAACTACTTTCAAAAAAATGCGTATTTACGAATTAGCAACATTAGTATTACTTTTGTGACTAATATGAGTAAATTAATTTAATAAATATACTTTTTCTAAAGTTTATTAACAAGTGGACATGCATTTAATTTAAAATAAAAATGAAACATAAAACACACATAAGTATTAATTAGAGTTCATTACATGTTTGAAAAAACATTAAACAAAGAAAATACATAATAGAACACATGCAATTGTCATACACTATCAACGATGTTGCCTCATATTACGTGACAAATTTTCTGTTATTTCATCATGTAATGCAATCATACATTGAGAACTTGCGCCGCGAACCTCATTTGAAGACCTTTCGGTGGGTTCTTGTGTTGGTGGAGTAATGAGAACTTTAATTGATGTTTAATAAATTACCTCGCTCAAAGATGGACAGAAAGAAGAAATAGCACTCAAATGAAGAAGCGGCCACCTACGAGATCGTTTTAGTTTTTCTGTTGCAATGTTACCATTATCACATAAAACACACTTTCTTTTCACCATTACACTTCATAATCTACAAAATAAAACAAATATACATGTATTAAACATATTGGAGAAACTGTGAAAACACAAGTGCACTTAAAAGTGAGAAAAACCAAGACTGTTGGAAGAGTAAAATACCATCCAGAAAGAAAACACTCAATGCTTATGTTAGCAATTAGGTGCCACTAAGGTTAAGTATCAAAATGCCATCCAGAAAGAAAACAATAATGGTTCAAGTGAGAAGTCAAGACACAATCCAGAATGTCAAGACCTTAATTGAGGCCAAAGAAAGCATAGGGTCAGATCAGTACAACCTGGTTTATGCAAGACAGCTGCTAGAAGATGCTTTACAACTACCGAAAATTCATATTTGCAGACAACAAAATTCATATTTAAAGACCAAACTATTGGCAAATGATACTACATTTATGACTGTTAACTAGTAACTTGACAAGTAGGAGCACAAGGTTGGAAGTTTTGTTTAGCAACTTGACAAGTTTAGATAATTAGTTGTCTAGTAGTAACTAGTAAGTAGTATTACTCCAGTATTAAAAAAAAAAGACATAAGCAGAGATACATGAGCAGGGCCAGATTAGAACTAGAGCTCAGGACCAGATTTAGGGAACCAATGTGAAACAACGAGTTTATGGCAACACTTTATAACCAATATGTAAGTAGATTCCCAAACATCAGTTCATAAAAATCGTTCTTATTCACGAAATATATAACCAAATAACAGTTCTTCTCATAGTTTTCGGGCTGTAATGCTATCAATTGAAGATGAAGATGCATATGGAATGCTAATAGTTTTCGGTAATTGCACACCTTACCTTTAATTTAGATGAATATGGAGAAGCGTTCAAGAGGTCTTCGATATGGAATGTCGAAGCTATGGAGCAGGCGAGCCGGAAGTCATCGATCTAGAACTCTGGAATGGCAGCTACGGGAGGCGCAACTCTTAAGGCAACGAAGCAACGATTAGGCTTAGGCGTAAAATAAAGGGGCAAAAGAGTATTTTCGCAGATCAACGGTAATAGGAAGATTTTGCAGCTCAAAATGTAAAAAATATTTACATTATAAGATAATTCTAATAATGTAATAATTAGGGTTCTCCATGTAATATTTTATACCTCTGTTTTATTATAAATATAAGGTCAAGGCAGCCAATAGGGTAAGCCATTATTCTCCATCATCATTTTCGTATATGGTATCAGACTAAGCCTAGGGTTTTTACGTTGTTCTCCCATGAACGGCTCTACTCCTCCCGCCGTATCCACACAGGCGCCCTCCCAGGTGCAGCCGCAACCTCCCTTCACGGAATCTCAGGCGCCCACTCCACTGGTGCAGCCAACGTTCAGCGACATCAGCCACGACACTGAGCCCTTCTCCTCCTTCGATGTCAGCTCCAGCAGTGCGGTTCCAGCAGTAACGACATCAGCCAGTGTTATGCGGTTTGGGCAGGTTGCCCAGACAGCTCACGCTCTACCACCGGTTATGCGGTTTTCCTAGGCTCCAACTTGGTTTCATGGCGCTCTAAGAAACAACCGTCCGTTTCTAAATCCTCTACTGAGGCCGAATACAGGGTCATTGCTTACACTGTCCAGGATACACTCTTCATCAGATCATTACTGGCAGATATGGGTATTGTTATCTCGACACCAGTACAGCTCCTTTGCGATAATGTCTCAGCTTCCTACTTGGCAGTTAATCCTATTCAGCATGATCGGAGTAAGCACATTAAAATCGACTACCACTTTGTTCGGTAACGAGTAGCACATGGAGATCTTGTGATGAAGCATATTCCTACATAGTTGCAGTTAGTTGATATCTTCACCAAGAATTTATCTAGTCAACGATTTGAATTTTTACGTTCCAATTTGCACGTGATTTCCCCTGCACAAATTGAGGGGGTGTAATAATTAGGGTTCTCCATGTAATATTTTATCTCTGTTTTTTTATAAATATAAGGTCAAGGCTCCCAATAGGGTAAGCCATTATTCCCCATCATTATTCTCGTATAAATTCAGCCCAAGTAGCTCAAAAGCCTTGTGTTTGGCTGTATTTTCATATTTTCAGGCTTATAAGCCTATTTTTGGGTCACCAAACACCCTCATAGTTAGGGCTGGGTCCGAAAAACCGAAAACTGAATCAAATCATACTGAACCGTAGCCAAATAAAACCGAACCGCTAACAAACCGAAACCGAATGTAAAAAACCAAACCGAATCGTAGTTGTTTGGTTCGGTTTTGGTTTTTACCCTTCGAAACCGAACCGAACAAACCGAACTAGTTAAAACATACGGAGTAAAATTTATTTGTCCATTGTTAAGCATTAATCCTAACTAATCCTAATATCATTAATAGTTTTTGGTTTTTTTGTGCTAGAGAAATAATGTTTGTTATGTTTTGTTTAGTTTGTGAATTCATTTACACATTCATTCCACGTAATAATGTAGCTCTACTGATAATATGTTTTTACTTGTTATTAGTATTAATTAACTTTTATTTTTATTTAACCTAAAGAATTCGTATTGATGAAACAATAAATATTTATCTCAACTATATCACATATAACGTATATACTCATGAACTTTTTTTGAACTAGTCACAAACAATGTAAATTAATAATATATACTTTTATCTCTCTCGCATACTCATATAATTCATGACATATTTATTTATTTTCATTTTTATTTTATTTGTTGTAGCGTGCTTGCATTCTTTATGTAATATATGTTTGATCCCTCAAAGTATTATATCAATTTTACATCAAATGATAATTTTTTGGTAAAAAACCGAAAAAACCGAAACCGAATCGAAACAAACCAAACCAATTAAACCGTGGTTCCAAGTTTTGGAGTGTAGAACCGAACCGAAACCGAACCGAACTTTTTACTTTGATTCTATATTTGGTTTTAGGTCAAAACCGAAGCACAAGAACCGAACCAACCCCTACTCATAGTTGTCTCTTCTAGAAAGGACTGCTTTACATGAGAAAGTAATGCAAAAATAATTAGCTGCTAAGTCTTGGATGTCATCAATTCCCATCAACTATCAGACCAATAACATTTTCTTTGGTTAATACAGTATTGGATGGTTTGTTTATTTATTAGTGAAAGAATGATGGATTGGAGAAGGTAGTAGCTAGACAAGGGAAAGATGGAGAAGCTGTTTGAACTCGCACATCCTGGTGTCAGTGTAAAATGTCTTGTGTTTATTAGGCCAATAAGTTAGCCAAATGCAGGCAGAGAGTTCCCAGTCCATAATCCCGGCGGCGGCAGCGGCGGCGGCGGCAGGGCTAGTGGTCTTCTTCTCCAATTTCCAGACCACTTTCTCGCCGTACTCATCCCCGGCAAAGATGACCCCTCCCTGCCTGGTGAAGGGCCTGAAAACGTTGGAGTAGCGGTGCTTGAACCACGCCTTAGGGTGCATCATCGCGAGCTTCGAAGGCTTGGATGAGAACACTTCCCTCCCGTCCCCGCTGTCGTGTAGGAACCAGTTCAAGCACGCCGTGTCTCCCTTCACCGACTGCTCGAACTTCCACGGCTTCAGGCTCGCCACCGCCGTTTCGCTGCCCCCGACCTTGAGCCCCAGCCCCAGGTTCGGAGGCTCGAACGACGCTTCCACTGTTCTTTCTGTCCCTATTTCTCGGGCCGGGTTCTCCGAGGATCTGCTCACGGACACGCTTAGGATGTTGATTTGCGGGGATGATGGAGTGAGCTTCAGTGAGATTCTTGATGGGAAGTGTTTTTCACATGCCCCTGCTCCTCTTCCTTTCATTTGACTTTCATCCAATAATCTCACCACATCACACCTACATACATACATACATCATGTTTTCAAGCCAAAAAATAGGGAGTCTTTGACTCCATTGCAAATGATGGAAATTCAGCAGGCAAGTCATTAATGGTCCAAATTAAATTTGCTGTCTTTAGGATCGGAGGAGTTTAGGATGTTCTGACTTGGATATAATCACTACGGTTCAGAAGCAAACTTTTCATTTCACGCTCTCTGAGGAAAACTGAGAACAAATTAGACGATTTCATCAAGGAACTAGGATGCAAGCTGGATATCTTGCATGTCCACGCGGTCAGTTTTTAGTTTTTACCTAACCTATAGTTTGGGAACCATGTGAACCATACATGACAAGGACCATCAAGTTGTAATGCACTTCCACAAGTTGGTATTTATTTTGCATCTTTTTAATTCGATTTGTAGTGTGAGACTGTTAGCTGACTTAGCTCGTAACTACGTTTTTGTCAATGACTTGGAGAAACATTATTATTATTATGAAGAAGAAGAAACTTGGTACAAAAGTCAAATGAAATCCAAAGTTTTGTTTACAACAGAATAATTTAAAAAAAATATACATACAGTATATGAGTGTACCTTATATTATCTGTGTTGACCAGTACCTCAATCCAATTATCTCGGACTAATACCCTGTAGTTCAATTGAATCACACCCTCCAGTTGATGGTAGTTGAGGGAGAAGCGCAAGTGGTCATCTGGGGAAGGGCTGCTGGATTTCTCAACGTCCATGGCTATGACGGGACAGTAGAGCTGGACTTTCCAAAGCCCAAAAGACGAATTCGAGTACGAGAACAACGTGGAAGGTGTCCTTATGCTCCCCTGCAGATTCCTGGCCTCCAGCTCCACAATCCAGTTTGTGATCGCGAGGTTCACAGTGCGCATCCACCGCTCTTCGATGTCGGAGCCTAGCAGCCTCATAAGCAGCAATGATGAAGCCCTAGAGCGAGGCCCCGCGAACTGGTCCTTGAGAGTGTGAATGCACGTTGCCCGAAGGTCTTGAGGGCACTCATAGATGCATACGACGAAAGAGAGAGTCAAAAATGATATGTTAAAGATGTCTTTGATGTTGTTGCAGTCATCATAATAGTCTAGCCTTGGCAGTCTAAGTGGGGCCCAGGTGCGGCGTCTTGTATGTCCGTAGTTTAGGACAGATTGGACGATGTTAGTCAGTAGATGAAAGATGGTTTCTTGGTTCAGTAACCCTTTTGATGTGATTTGTATTGGGTTTGAGGTCCATAGAGCAACGTGGAGACTGTAATCTGCAAAAATGGCTAAGCGGATTGATGAGGAATGTAGAGATCTTGTTATGGAGAGTTTGAGAGAAGGTTGGTATGAAGAAGAGAAGGAGGAGGAGGAGGAGGAGGAGATGGACGTCGAAATGGAGTCACTTCTCCATTGTGTGATTGGTGGAAGGTTTTCGACCCATGCCCACACGTCAAAGAAACAAGCAGGAGAATAAGCCATTTTGAATTGTGTTTTGTTTTGGGAGATAAGTCTCTCGATATGCATGTGTCTATCAGATAAATGTGAATTTTTGATGGTATTTAAGAACGTGAGCCTAGAGAACAACTCAGATTCTTGTAGGCTAGAAAGTCTAAACAAGGATAATAATTGAGGTTCGAATGGAAGTCTTTCTCATGAGAGGAATAAAGGTATGATGCCGGAGAAAGATATTGGAGCAAGTAAACACTTGTTATGGATAAACCCATCCGAAGCAAGCAAGAAAAAAGAACATATTAGGGAGTGCCACTTAGCTTGCTTGATGGAATTGCTTACTTGCACCCGTTAATTACACATGACTTTGTTGGAATTCAAAAGTTCGCAAGCAAATTATATTGTAGCCTTTTTTCTTTCATTTCACCCTAAAGCAGCAGCCAGCATGTTCATTCCTCCTACTCTTTTTTCCTTTTCATCTTTCTCTTCTTGATGAATGTGTATTACACATCATGGCTGCTAGGAGAGATTTGATCTCCTTCAATATATGAATTCATATGTTCAAGAGTCAACAATGAAGACTTATAATAGAAATCTCAACAATAATTTATAGGGTAAAGGGTCAAAAATGACATTAAGGTTTTTAATGAATCTCGTATTGGACATTGGGGTTTTTGAAGGACCAAATAAACACATATTCTAACTTATACACTAATTTTAAACCACCCCATTAACATTCCCGTTCCATGCCTGTTTGTCCGTTAACTCTCCTCTTTCCCTGCGATTAAACAGACAATCCCCATTTGTGTAACTTTTATTGTAAAAATGAGGGGGGTGGTCAATCTGAGGTTTAACCATAGCGGGAGGTGGTTGTTGAAGCCTTTACAGTACGTTAATGGAGACGTGGATACTATATATGGATTTGACCCAGATTATTTGTGTTATCATGACATATGTCAGAAATACAAGGATGATTTGGGCTTTAAAACTCTAAAAAATATTTATGTGTTAGAATCTTGAAAAGATATGGAAAATGGCATGCATGTTCTTAGTTCAAGATGATGAAACAATAAGGAAGGTGTTAAATCGTATTAGAAGATTGTCTTGGATTGATGATATTGAACTGTATGTTGATCATGAACTATATGAACCTCTTCTAATTCCCCTAATAGAAGGGAGTGGTGTGCCAAACCCACCGTCTGCTGAAACCGAGAATGGGTTGGGTTCTGATTTTGCTACTGATCATGTGAGAGATGAAACTGTTGAAGTAAACACTGGTGGTTTCCCTAATGGATATCAAACAGATGAAGAATCAAATGGAGGGCAAGAGGAGGAGGAGGAGGAGTGTGACAAATCTGATGACTCCTCGGATGATGAACCGAGAGAGAACTACTCTGTGAATGATGGTTCAGGTTCATTCATGAATGGAATGACATTTGAAGATGTTAAAGAGGCTCGCACAGCAATCGCTAATTATGGAGTCAAATATGGGTACAAGCTGAAAATCAAATCGAATGAGAAGAACCGGTTGGTAGTGAAGTGTCTTAATGAGGAAGGTTGTCCATTTAGGCTGTGGATATCTAATGATGGGAAGAATTGTGGTCTGGCAGTGAAGGTATGCAATCCTGAGCACAAATGTTTTAGGCATTATTTCATTCCTAGTGCTAGCCAGAAATGGTTAGCAAACTATTTCAAAGGTCGCCTACAAAAAGATCCTAGCTTCACAGTTAGAGCTATGAAAGAGGAGGCTGAAAAGAAATTGAAGATCAATGTTAGCTTGTACAAATGTAAAAGAGTCAAGAGATTGATTATCCAAGAGATGGATGGGAGCTATAAGGCTGAGTTTGGGTATCTTGAAGCGTATGCTGCAACCTTAAAGAGAAGTAATACTGGCTCCAAAGCTGAAATAGAATTATGCAGTGCTGCATTGAAAGAAGGAAACCGAGTGTTTAAAAGAATGTTCATCTGTTTTGCTACTTTGAGGCAGAACTGGTTGGCAGGTTGTAGAAGGATCATAGGGGTGGACGGTTGTTTTTTAAAGAGTGTGTGTAAGGGGATTTTACTGGCTGCAGTGGGAGTTGATGGAGATGGACAAATGGTTCCTATAGCATGAGTTGTGACTCACAAAGAAAACAAGTCTAATTGGAGGTGGTTTCTAACTTGGCTTGTGCAAGAACTAGACCTCAAAAGTGGTGCTGATTTAACCCTTATTTCAGATATGCAAAAGGGGTTAATCATTGCAGCTCAGGATGTCATACCACATGCAGAACATAGGTTCTGTGCTCGCCATGTTTATGCAAAATGGTCCAAAAAGTGGAGAGGTGACCAGTTTTGCTAATAATTCTAGATATGTGCTTGGAGCACATATGAAGAAGAGCTACAAATGAACTTGAAAAGGCTTGGGAAATTAAGCAGTGAAGCTGTTTCTGATGTGTTGAAAATCACTTGAAATATCCAATTCAAACTTGGTGTCGGGCATACTTTAGTAGCCGAAGTGATGGAGTATATGGACCACGGACCCCAGGTCCACAGACTCCTACTACTCTAACACAGACCCAACAGGCCCAAGAAGCATAGGAGGTCCAAAGAACAACGGCTCAAATATCGAGAAGCCCGCGGTGCACATACGGGTGCCTTCGGCCGCATGGCCGAAGGCCCCCAAAACTCACAGGACAGCTAATTTTACGCATAGAAGCCTACTGGGAGAAAACGGCGGAAGTCGGGAGCCTTCGGTTCATGCATGCCTTCGGCACTTGGGTAGCCTTCGGCTATCCAGAGCCCCCGGCTACTGGGGAGCCTTCGGCTACAGCACAAACATCGAAGATTCCCTTTGGAGACAAGCAACAGACGCATTTAATGTGGCGTCACATCCACCCACCACATTTAATGTGGTGCACATGAGTATGCCAGTGTCATCCCGATTGAGGTGACCCCTCAACCGTTAGATTGTCGACACGTGTACTCTCATCGCATTTATTACTGCTATAAATAGCAGTCCATTCTCCATTGTAAAGCATCATAAGTTCACATATTCGAATACACTTTCTCTCTCTTACTTATTGCTCTGACTTCTCTCTAAGGTATTCCTGTAATAACCCCTCGGATAAACTACCACTCGGGTACACTATCCATCATATGGTGCTCTGGTTGAGAGGTTTAAACACAATCAAGTGAGAAAACCTCCCCAAAAAACCAAAAATTCACCCAAATCACGAAGAAATCAGGGGGGAAAAAATCTGGCAAATCACAATTTAGAATGTTCCAGATCTGAGCCGGAGCCGCCATCCCACCGTCGTACACCATCTGCTGGAGCTCGCCGCATCAGTTGGACTTCGCCGCGCCGTTCTCAGGAAGTGTTATCACTCTTACAGAGCTCACGTACCCATCCCTTTTGCGAAATTTGTTCAAAAGGTTGCCAGCAACTCCGATCTGAAATTCAGGAGCACGAATAGGCAAGTTGCCTCTTTAATCTCCTTCTTTGTTGAGCCATCGTGCGCCACCAAGACCGGTGTCATCCCTTCTGCCAACGTAGCTCCACCTGACTAGTCTCCGGTCGTTTCTCCATGTTACCAGTCGTCGGTCGCTCCTTCCCATTGACGTGAGGGATCTGCCGATTGAAGATTTAATGAATTTCACCATGGCAGCTTGGAGTTCGTAAGATGCAGACTCAAGATCGGATCTGGGGCAGGTTTATTTCTCCTTCGAAAGCTATGGTGGACAACATTGTCGTCCTCAGTCGTCGCCTCCCTGGTGTGACTGCAAAGCGTAACTTCCTTCTGATACTGGTGTGTTGCGCAGACAATGGACGAGCCGGCGGGGAGGTGGTTTGATAGGCATACGATCAGTTGACCCAGTCAATCTTTCAAACTTGTGGCTTAAAAGTGTACGTACTAGTGTTGCTCCCAGCTCATAGATGTCAAGTATCTCCTTTTTTGCCAAAAAAAGCACAAGAGGGACAAGGTTGTCATTTGCCAATGGCAGAATCATTAGGGAATTGGCTCAGACCTACTCAAACCTTATGGGCCGGACTCTTTCTCAGCAACATATTTCATCCCAAGCAGTCTAATTTTCAGCCCACTTCAAAAAGATAAGTACTCTTTAATTTGTCATATTATTTATTTTTATTTAAATCATTTTTTTTATCGGGTGAATGTCACACTATCACGCACTTATGATCAAATGCCTAGTAGAGTGTGGTTTGAGACCCATCACTAGGATTTAAAGCCCTTGACCAAGATCAGGCACAAAGCCCCGACCAAGTCGGGCATGAAGAAAAAGCCCCGACCAAGTCGGGCACGAAGACCGGTCTTTGTCATTCCTCGAGTGGCGACCGTTGCTTACAAATGGCTCACACATCCATTCTACTAAGTATTTTATCATTACATTAACAATTCACATCTCCACTTGTTTCAAGTGACGAACTCCCGATCGGAAACATAAATCTCGAGAAAAAAAATTATATGTATGTTAAATGTGTAGGTACAAAGATGACTTTACTCATTTTCACCTCGTCTCCACTCGCCTCAAGGAGTGGGGGACTGGGAACTGAGGGGTCAGAGTTTCTAGATGAGCAGAAAATATCACGCATGAGCAGGAATGAGAGATGAGTCGGTTGAAGACGGGTTGAGCCAGACATAAGTGATTATGTCGGAGGGGGCCTACCTTCCTTGTTTCATGTTGGGGCGCTAGGTGTACTCTTTTTTCCTTTATTAGGATTTTTTCCCACTTGGTTTTTTCTTAGTAAAGGTTTTTAACAAGGCACCTCCCCAATCATGGACAAGGGTGGTGGTCCCCCGGCCGAAGAGGAAGAAACCAAAGACAGAAGAACGTTGCAGCTACAGTTTGGACTACTCCCTTTCACCTCGAGTACTCTCGGTTCAGTGAGTGGGGGGGCTCCTGATGGAGTATATGGACTCCGACCCCCCGGTCTGCCGACTATTGGGCATGGACAGCGGCCCACACACGTTTAGCGGATTCATATTATTGTACATTATTATTCAGATGTTCTAGATTAGTTTTTCATACTATCAGTCCATTTATGTAACCGGGTCTATCGGGCCAATATTAGAAGCCCAGACCCGGATTTCCCTATATATACTCCCTTATGTAAGGCATGTAAACCATAACTCATAATAACTCATAACTCATTCTATACACACTTATCTCCTTCTCTACTACACTCTTATTCAAATCTCTTTAGTTATAGGATATGGGTATTAATTATCCAACACAAAGCCAATGTTGGATGGTTGATAATAACATCACAGAGTCCTTTAGTGCATGGATTCGAGAAGAAAGAGGAAAACCCATTGTGAGCATGCTAGAAGATATATGCTTGAAGGCAATGAAAAGAATTTCAAATTTTAAGGCCAGTCATGAGAAGTGGATAAATGATTGGTCTCCCTCATGCATGGACTACTTTCAAGCTAACAAGGACGCTGCCACTGGATGCAATATCATTTTTAATGGGGACATGGGGTTTGAGATAGGTGAGGGTGAAGATAAACACACTGTCATGTTAGATAAGATGATGTGCACTTACAAAGCATGGGAATTGACTGGCATACCTTGCTTACATGCTTTGTGTGCTTTATTTTACAAGAAGGTGGATGCCATGACATATATATATATATATATATATATATATATATATATATATATATATATATATATATATATCTAGGTGGTATCATAAAGAAACTTATATGGCAGCATATCAGCACCCTTCACAGCCTGTTCCCGGAAAGGCCTTCGTGAGAGTGGAAGAATATGAAGCTATTTTACCTCCCCCGGTGCCAAACTTACCTTGTAGACCAAAGAAAAACAAGGTTAGAGCCTCAAACGAGGGCAAAGGTGTGGGAAGTGGTGCAAAAGGTGCTGATAGTACATCTCATAGAGCATCAAGAAAAGGCCAAGTCCAAACCTGTGGGATATGTCATGTAGAGGGACATAAGAGAACCTAATGTCCAAATAAAGATCAAGCTGTAAGTAATAAATACTATTTATGACTTTTAGGACTTTTTTTTGTAATTTGTAAGACTACTTTTATATTTAGAAGGTTGTTATTGTAATTTATGTGTGCTTGTTACTTCTAAAGAGTGTATATGTGTAATTTATAAGTTAGTTACTTATGAAGATTTATTATGGTATATATGTGTATGTATAATATCATGTAATGTGTGTTTAGGCATCTACTGAAACAAGAGAAGGTACTACACCTGGTAATGGGAAGAGGACTGCTTCAATTGCTTTTTCTCCAGATCCTAGCACTACACAAATGTCACAAGGACCACTTCCAAAGCCAAATACTGTAAGGACTCATGTTAAGTCAAAATTGCCATGTAGAAGAATTGGCAAGAGAAAAGGTAAACAACATGTCAAAGGGTTTGGCTGCTATGTTGATGTCAACACTGCAAAAAAAATACTGTAAGGACTCATGAGTTTTTTTATACATACTGTAGTGTTAATTCAATGCTTGTTCTGACTATTTAAGAAGTGGGTGTTTTGTTGTAACTTCATATCCATTTACTCATTCTTTGTTGCAGCCTGGGATGGACATTGAACAAGTGGTTTCTCATCTGCAAAATGAAGTGGCACATGATCCTGGTGTTAATGTCAGGTTTGCTATTCCAAATGAGAAGGAAATCAGATGTGCTGCCAGAGTTCAAAAGGAGATAGATGTCCCAGCATATAGGACAATATCTTTCAAGGGTGATGGAGCTCAAGGAAAAAAACCAACTAACCTGCCCTTTGAAGCACCCGGTTTGCAATGGAAGGGGAAGAAAGCCATCAGCTCCACACATTTGTTAAACAAGATGCAAAGGAGGAGGCCTTCTTCAATCCAGGTTGATCTCCTCGAACCCACAGTTTAAGAGTTGGCTTGGATGTTGTATTCAACCCATTTTTTGGATGTTATTAAAGTTGTCAGTTTTTTGGTTTAGTAGGCGACAACATTAGCTCTTACTGTGAAGTTTTTGTTCTTGTGCCTACATGGCCAAGTTCAATGGTTTTTTGGATTTTGTAAACTCATTACTAAATGGTAATATGGCCTCTAATGATATGAACTTATGATAATGTTATGTTGTTATATATTATGACGATTAGAAGTTCATGATTTAGTATTTTTATGAGATATTATTTAGGAGGTTTGTGTATAAGATGGTATAACAGTTATTTAGGTTTATTTACAAACTGAATGACAGTTGATTAAGTTGTTAGTACTTCAAGATGTTATTCAAAAGGTAATGACAGATCTTCAACACCTCTGAAAGAACTTTTATTGAGCTCAACAACACCTCTATATAACAATCATCCTCTCATACAAACAATTACTACATGAGTACTCCTATAATATAACTGAACCACTTCATTAATACCAAAGTATTCCCACAACAAAGCCATAACAGTCATACCAAACTAAATCAAGTACAACAACACTAAACAACAACTTTGTTCTATCAATATCCTCTTTCTAAGGTTACAACACAAAACATTAAGAACTTCAACTACTTTAAAAGCAAACATATCACTACAACAACGACACACAACACCATTGAAATCACATTTTTCCTATTCATATTTGCTCCCCTGTCCAATTCCGGATTTTTTCCAACCTTCCTACTGTTAATCTCTTCAACTTCACACTTCAATTTTTGAATGGAGTTATCATCATATTCCAGGAGTGATGTTTCATCAAATTTCCCTCCTGCACGTATGGCCTCCTCCAGTCCCAATATTGTAGTGTGTAGTCTTTTATTCTCTCTTTTTAGATCATTGATAACATGTTTCGCCCTATCTGTTAATGGCTCATCATGCCACTCAAAAAACCCGCAGCCATCCTTCTACAACACACAGAAATAACAATATACATCACATGGGGTGAAAGAATAATTTTAAAAATTCAAATTGAAATTACCTCATAATACAAACACCCATAGAACCGTCTCCCCTGATTCTTATCAGTCCACGAATTCCAAAGTCGCACCTCCACACGGGCTCCATTTGCATTCCTGCACTTACAGTACCTCGTCCGGCCAGAATTTTGGCGATCGATGCTGCTTCGAAAGTTTACTGAATCAATGGATTTTGCTTTGTGTATCCTTTCTGAGCTTGATGGTGAAGGACTAATGTCCATACTTATGGTTTCCTCTTCCAATACGTCTGCACACACTTTAATAGGTAGCTTCAAAATCAATTAGGGTTGTTGGGAATGTATTTATGGAGGTGTGTTTTTTTAAGGCAAACCGATCGAATTATTTTATTAAATGGAGCGAACAAAGGAGAATAAATTACAAGACAGATGTTAAAGTAGACTGTTCGAAATTAATTAACTAAGGGTAGAGCTATGCTCCAAAGTATTGTGGTCCTGGTGGGCCTCTTCTCGGACATATTCCCCTGGTGAAAGAATCGATCCTGGCCCATCGACATTTTGCGTCCAAAGGAGAGGTATGTAAGTGGGTTTAAGCGTCCAGAACCCTAGAACGCTTCCAAGAGAGGGGGTCTCTTCTTCACCGATCGTGAGCGAGTCCGACCATGAGAGAGACGGAGCGAGGACCTACCCTGTGTCGCGAAAGAAGATCGTTCGTCGGAGATCCTCTTCGTATGCCTGCCTGACCCGATGAGGTAAGCTCCCTGCGGTGTAGTGCTTTGTTGTTGTCACTAGAGTGCCTTGTTGAGCTAGATGATGGGCTACTTGGTTTCTTTCTCTAAAAGTGTGAACAATCGATGCCTGAATGTTGTTGCAGAGGAGACTGATACGTCTGACATCGCCGGCAAGGTGCGGAGGTATTTTCTTCCTTCCTTGTGTGATTTTAACTAGGATTTCAGAGTCCGTTTGGATTTCTATTTTACGATATCCTCTGTTTGCTAAAATTGACATGGCTGTTGCTGTTGCGATTGTTTCTGCTTGCAGAGGTGACCTCGAGTTGATAGGAAAGGAGAATGCTTCGAGCAAGACCCCGTTTCGGTTTCTGAGGATACCACCCCCTGCGCTCTGAGATGGGTTGTGAGCGGCATCTACATTTAAGCATAGGTCATTGTTTGAGGTGATGTTCCACTGAACTGGTTTTGTTGTTTTTTGTCCTTTGATTTTTGGCATGAGACCTTCTGTGAATAGATCGTTGTCAAACTGGATGTATTTTTTTCCTGCGTGCACTGTAGTCCATATGAAAGTGTATAGTTTGATCTCTGCTATTGTATCCCTGGTTGTTAAAGGTTTTTCGTTCCAAATTGTGAGGTTGTATGCTTTCCATATATGCCATAGAATCACTCCTGGTAAAATCTGCCTTAGTATGTCTCTTGTGTTGTCATTTTTCCCTCCCAACCACCATTTAAACACACCATATGGAGGTGTGTTTAATAGAAGGGGGAGACATGTAGTTAGCAGGTTAACGGTCGTCGAACGGGAATGTTATTGGGGTGGTTTAAAATTAGCGTATAAGATAGAATATGTGTTTATTTGATCCTTCAAAAACCCCAATGTCCAATACGAGATTCATTAAAAACCTTAGTGTCATTTTTGGCCCTTTTCCCTAATTTATATTGGGGCAACAACATTTCACGTTAAACTCTCAAATTCAACATATGAAGTTGTTAGTCACTAGTCACTGCATATAATAGACATCTTCCATTGACATTGGTCTTTGAACTAATTAATTAAGATTTAAGATTGTTGGAAGAATTCATATATACCATAAGTTTGTAAGACAAGAGTTAAATTGACAATAATAAAATAACATAACGAAGGTAATGCTTAATTTAGTACGGAGTAGGAGTTAAATTTTGTGTGATCATTTTGTTTACCTGTTGTTTAGCATATTAGAAATGGCAACTAAGATTTACCAAGCACTTTTTTACCCCAAGGGGTCACGGGGAGGGGGCTGGAGTGAAACCTGGGGTAAATAGAGTTGAAACTCTTTGGAGTTTCAAATCCGAGACCTCTCGTATGAGACCAGTTGAGCCAGGCCACTTCCTCGGAATTTATCTGATGGATAAGTGTACCCGGGGGTAGTTTATCCGAGCGGTTATTGCGGGGAGAGAGTAGAGAGAAGTCAGAGCACAAAAAACTAGAAGATAAAGATAACATAAGAACATAAAACGATAAAGAAAATAAACGATAAAAAATGAGAGAGAGGAATGATAGAAAAGAGATCAAACATCCAAACGATGTGCGCCCTCCACTTTGCTCTCTTCTAATTCATACTCTCATCCAACCCAAGAAGACGCATATAAGTTTTAATTCCTCTAATCCAAGTTTATTTTTTATTCCTCCGAAACAGGTGCATTACTCGATCTTCTACGCACATGCCCAAACCACCGCAAACAAGATTCATGCATCTTATCTTTGATAGGTGTTACACCCACCTTTTGTTTGATTATCTTATTACTCAAGCGGTCTTTTCTGGTATGTCCACGCATCCAACGCAACATACCCATCTCTGTCACACTCATCTTTTGAATGTGACATTGTTTCACTGTCCAACACTATACGCCATACATTAATGCAGACCTAATTGATGTTCGATAAAACTTACCTTTGAGTCTAGTCGACTCAGTCTTGCTTTGGCTCAGTCTAAAACTCTTGGTCTCCAAAGTTTATCGTCATACTTCCAACTTTGCTTTAATACTCGATTGCGTCTCATCAATTGGAACAATATCGTCCGTAAACATCGTGCATCACGGTATATTTTCTTGAATTGACTTCGTAAGTTCATCCATGATATAGCAAATAAGATAGAACTCACAGTCGATCCTTGGTGCACTCCAATAGTAATAGGAAACTATGTGGTCCTCTCTACACTAGTACGGGCATTTGTAGTACAAGCCTCATACATATCCATGATGATACTGATATACTTACGTGAATATGCTTTTTTTAGTTAAGTCCCGCCAAAGAACTTTCTGAGGTATCCTACCATATGCTTTTTCTAAGTCAATGAACACCAAATGCAGATCCTTTTTGTGTCTCTATACTTCTCCATATCTTGTCTAAGAAAGTGAATTGCTTCTGTTGTTGAGCGTCCAGACATAAAACTAACTGATTTTCCGATATTTTCACATATTTTTAAAGTCTTTGCTCCAAAAGTTTCATGGTGCGACTCATAAGTTTAATCTCTCGATAGTTAGCACATTTGTGTACATCACCCTTATTTTTAAAAGGGGGGGAGTGAGAGTACTCTTCCGCCAACTCACTGCATTTTGTTGTTTCTCCGAATCATATTGAAAAATGTGTTAAATTAGCCACTCAATGCCTTTATCTCCTAAACTTGTTCAAGCCTCGATCAGTATGCCGTCTGGGTCCACTACTTTCTTCTGTCCCATCTTTCTCAAAGCCTCTTTAACTTTTGTTATTTGGGTCCTTCTCACAAAGTCCCAATTTACCATACACTCTGGTATAGTAAGATCATCAATATCTTGCACATTATTCCCGTTGAACAAGGTATCAAAGTATGATATTCACCTCTCTTTTATTTCTTCTTCCTCCATTAATGCCATGTGATTGACATCATGCACACATTTTTTCGATATCTTGAGTCCTATGGTCACAAAGGCGAGCAAGTATGTAAATATCTTTTTATCCTTCCTTATAATCCAATTTTACCTACAATTCCTTGTTCACTTTCACTCTTGCTTTTTTGACAACTTTCTTTGCTCTTCTTCTAGCCTCCTTGTACTCCTCTATGTTCTCATCGCTCTAACGTTTGCGCAGTTTTTTGTAGCATTCCCTTTTGGTCCTAATTTCTTGTTTCACATCATCATTCCACCAAGATGTGTTCATTTTTTTGTGGCAGACATCCTTTAAATTCTCCGAATATCTACTTCGCCACTTTGTTAAAGGTGAACTCCATTGATAACCACACTTCATCCACATGTGCGTCGTTATCAATAGACCATACATCTTCCTCCAACATTTTGTGTTCAAAACTTTGTAGAAGATCTCCCTCGAGCCTCCACCACTTTATCTTTGGTTCCCCTTGTACCTTAACTCGCTTTCTCTTTTTACCTTGAAAGTCAAGCACAAGCATCCTATGCTGAATGACACCACTCTGACTTG